TCTGAAATTCATAATTATTTTAAATTCCTTTTATTACAGTTTGAATCTACCGCTACTCTTTTACTGTATACTAACCAGTCTATTAATCCACTTTTTTTCAGTTACTTCCAAATTACGGCATGCAAGTCAACGTTTTAATGTTACAACATTGTTATCCTTTACAGTTGCAAATTTTAGTTTTGCTCCAGGAACATTTTCTACTGTTAAAAACATTCTTTTTTAATTGTACTTTACCACATGTTTATATGAGGATTAGGCAGTGTTTGTCCCTACCGAACTACTAGCGCTGCTAGTGAGTGATTTTTCGTACTTCAGGAAAAAGGTTCATCAAGAAAATTGTGTTAAGTTGGCAAAAGTGAATAGTTTCAAATGACGCTTATTACGAATAAACCAAATAAGTACTAACTGAGATTACAGTTTAAAGTGGACTCGAAAAACCGGTAAAAACTCTTGAAACAACCTTGAAACAACTAGTAGTTTGTAGAAATTCAATCAGGTTTTCAATTTATAAATGTGCCACTTATTAAAGAACTCAGGGTTGTATGAAATATAAGTTTCCAATCATATTTGTCCTAGATAAGTGCATTCGTGCGTAGATTGATTTCAAAAGTAATTATGAAGGAAATTGATTACTCATACATTTTCAACTTGTCCCACAAGTTTGATGAGTAACTATCAGATTTCATGTGAGTCAGCATGAAATAAACATAGAAATTGTTCAATTACTTTTGTTCGATATGAGAAAAAAGTCGTCATTATCGGCGGTCGATGTCGAAGATTGGTTTCGCAACTGACCGCCTTGGGGAACCTCATTAATGTTTGATATCCGAGGATGGAGTTCTCTGACGTTCTCATAGATGGCGTCGTCGTAAGGGGAGATGTACTTAATCGTTAGGTGTCATAACAGGTAGCCTTCAATATAAGTTATGAAATAAAATACATTAACAAAGTAATACAGTTACTAATGTTAGTAATTAATTAAATGACACTCCTTTGATGATCCTCATTATACAAGGTGATTTTTCGTCTAGATGTATACGCTGTCTGTTCAAAAAATGAGGTGTTTTTCCATAAAGAAAAAAAATTGTTCATCAATTTCAATTTTGTTCCCTTTAAAGAAGCCACCTTCGAAAAAAAAGGTTTAAAATCTCTCAGAAGTTGAGAAACTTGTACGAGCTAAGGACTAACGAGGTCTTACCTTTTAACGTGTGATTCAAACATGATACATCGCAAAACCCCGTCATTCTACGTGTTTCTTCAATCTTAGGAACAGGAAAAAGTCACTGGGGGCCAAATCTGGTGAATACGGTGACAAAGGCATGGCTATGGTGTTGTTTTTCGCCATAAAATTACGAACAAGCAATGTGTGCAGGTGTGTTAACGTGATACGAAAGCCACGAATGGTTTTCCCACAATACCAGGTGTTTTCTTCGTATTGCCTATCGCAAATGGCGCATAACTTCAAGATAATACTCTTTATTGATCGTACGACCATGTGGCAAGAACTCCTGATACACCACTCCACGGTAATCGAGAAAAACACCAACTATGATCCTTAAGAGCGAATCTGGATCGCTCTTGACGTCTTTCAACAATTCCTGAGCAATGCCCATACGACTATATTTCAACTGGAGCGCCAGTGGCGGAGAAAAAAAGGCACGTTCATAAAATGAAATTACCTATTCATTACTGTTTCTACATACAGGTATATTTTTGGAGGATGAAATTTTGTATGTCGGTGCATTTTATATTGTAGATGAGCAATAAGAAAGGATCTTCAAAATATTCCAACGGGGGCGCTAGCTGCGGGGAAAAAAGCGCGTCCATAACACAAAATTATCTTTTCATCAGTGTTTCTCCATGCCCTTGAATATCCAGTGGGTGAATTTATATAAAATATTGGCATTGCACCCGTGCGGAGCCGGGGCGAGTCGCTAGTACTTCATATAAAAAAAAAACATGCCTAAATAAACACCACACGAATCCGTGCAATCTCACTGCCTACAAAAATCAATCTCCAACGTTTTCATTAGTCTAATAACCACCTGGAGAATCATGCCATACCCGCATACTGTTTTGTAAACATTAACAGAGTATCTCTCGGATATCTACCAACTCGAACGTTCTAACGTGGACGTTGGCGTGTCCAATAAAAAATCATTAACATTTCGAAGCTCGCCAACTCATCACGCAAACACTTTTACTGTTACCACTTACTCGACTATAGAACGAATCGTGATCGAGTCATTGCCACATGACCTTTCTACAATGAACACAAAGAACTGGATTTTTCCTTTGTGGCACCGGGAGTGATGAATATGAATTTCTGTGGTAGACGACACATAAATTTTGCTGTCTTGAAACGAAACGTTTTTAATGAACCTCTGGATCAGATAAAATTTTTTTTGCACTAAACATCCAGTATATGGTAAATGCAAATCGACTTTTCAGAAAACTCGCTTTCCATGTTGTTGAATTTACCATTAGATATGAATTGCTGTTGCGTGTTGATGATAAGCAAATCTTCCTGAACTTTCTAAAAGCAAATAAAAGCNAGCTACAATGCACACAGCAGTTGAAGCCACAGAAAATGGTGTGGGGACAGTCCTTGGTAAAATCGGAGACACCCTCAACTTCACTTCCTCCGCAGCTAAAGACGCGGCAGAAGACTTGGAGCACAAAAAAGACGAACTTGTGACGAACGCGTACGATACAGCAGCTGAAGTGGTTTCAGAAACAGAAACCATCCTTGCGTCCGAAACCGAAAGCGCCAAAGAGGCCTTCACCTCCCAAAGCGCTCCTATTTTCGAAACCGTCCGCTCATTTGAAAACGAAATAGAAAGTAAAACCGAAAAACTCCAAGACAACCTCGTAGGTGCTCTTGACGATGTGGAAAGCGACATTGAGCAACACTTTGACGCGTTAGGGGACAACCTGAAGGCTGCCGAGAAAAAAGTAGAGGAACGGCTGGATATTTCACTCCCAGGGTCGCCTGAAAAGGAGCCGAAGAAGGAGGAGTAAGTGGTCCCATGTGAGTGTTTAACCAAATCGTGCTTCTTTCTCTAGATGGTGTTGTAGTCTTTCTAGAGTAGATTGCACGAAACAGCCTTTTAGCTAAGCATCAATCTTTGGCATTATAATTGTTGCATTAGACAGATCGTTATTTTGCTCGTTACTGAATGTTACAATTGATTACAGTTAATTAGCTACACCTTTATATGCGAGATTTGTTTTATTAACCTCAAAATAAATAACTACGTGGTAGGAGTTCATCATGAGAAATGAGAATTACAACTTCCTATGTTTTATGCCACTTGTATTTGTAACTACGTTACTGCAGTTTCGGCCTACAAAGACATTTTCAAACGAATTGTATTCGATTGAAACCAGTGCAGTGGAAGACAGAGGACGACTTTTTCTTTGATCACTGTTTCGGGTATTTTATTTAATTTTGTACAATCCATCTCATGAAATTATTTTCCATAAAAGCTGGAAATTGATATGAACTCGTACCGATTGAACTCCATTGCATCCGCGAAACTGAAATTTGTCCGAAGTATCGCGTGCTGGAAATTAGAAATATTTGCCGTCCTCAAGCAAAACGCTAGAAGGTTAATACATTCACATATAAATGTAAGTGGGTGAATTTTAACGAGGAAATGCGTGACAATATTTCCTCGATCGAGGTTCCCGACTACAAGGAAAATTAAAAAAAAAGACGGCATCGGCCTAATCGCGGTTTCTAAAAGCATCGTCATTAATTCTTAATTATATTCCAAGGTTGAGGTACAAAAGCCTCAGAAGTGGTCTAGAATTATATATTTTGTTCTTTTATCGCTTCGTCAGATGACTGACGTTGATTTATTAAGGAATTATTCACTAAAAGTGGAATATTCCAATACGAGGCGAAAATGAAGGACTCTCAACAATTCGATCTCTGACCTTGGATGAATTGATTCGTAAGGCCTTGTGAGATAGTTTCTGATTGTTTGCAAAATAATTTTGGTAAAAAATGTCTAGTTTTCAATGTTCAGTATGGATGTTTTTACTACATAGAAATACTTAAGGCACTTTGAATAAAGAGCTTGTTCAAACTGGGGAATGACGTTGAATTATATTTGTTTCGTGAAACTGTTTCGAGAGGACATCGAAACTTTAATTGTCTTCATACTTCCTTGATTTCTCATTTCTCCGACTCTCAGGCAGATCAACAAATTTCACTGTCAGCTTCACGTCCAAAGGACGATTTCTTTATTGCTTTCATTCATCTTTTTCCACTCCCAGTCTTCAATTAATTCTTCTTAGTCCTGGGTTCTCGTTTTCAAATGAAATGAAGTTTGCTATCACATTGCATTTCTTGTATGTATATACGTGCTCCACTGATCTGAATTTCCTTTTGGAGAATAATCTACTCCAAAGTTGATAGACCATGGTAAATTTTCCTCAGTCTAGTGAGGATCTGATCATCGGTCAGTTTTCGATTACTTTCGTCAGATAAGTAGGCAACGCAAATAAATGTATGGCCTGGAATTTAGGCCTCCTATGGCCCCATAGTGATAACTTCATCGATGCACCAACCAGGATCCCTTGTAGCCATATAGGACGGAATGTGCAGCTTTGGAATCGGACCTTTCAATCATCTTCTGGAAAATTCCAGTTAACTGGTCGATATTGAGGTTGTCGAATATTCTTGTTGAAAGATTCCAACCTTTCCAAATGTGAGTTATACCTGGGATTTAGGGGGTTAGCTTCCTATGTTTAATAGCACTGTCAAAAATTGAAGAACTAAGAAGCTCTTGGTCTTGATCCATTGTTATAGGTTGAGGTCGTTTAGTCGAAGTCCTCTCCTCCGTAGACTGATTCAGGCTCGGATTCGTCGGTCACTTCATGGTCTATGAAGGGTCCCACGAGTAGCTTACGAAAGGAAGTCCATCACGGCAGAGCCCCGCATTACCATGTCAAGACGAGAAGGCGGCCGTTATCTCGAATTCTATATTGGTGACAGTGATAAGCACAGAGTAAGGGTATTCACCCCCGCTTCAGGGTAGCTATCTTCGATAGTCCGTTATTTGCAAGTTCAAAACAACAGGTGGATAGATGGATATGTGGATAGATGGAAAGGCGAATAGATTGATAAATGGGAAGATGGATAGATGAATGGAACGATAGATGCATAGATGGAAAGAAGGATAGATGTAGAAATAGATAGAAAAATAAGCGATAGACGGACACATGGATAGAACCCGTTAATGTGGCAATAATTAAATGTGAAACTGTATTAACTTACTGCTTTTTTTCAGGCTTGTACCGACATTTTGGGAGGCTGCGGCGGACGCGATTCTGCTACGAAGGACAATAAAATCGATGGATTTTCGGGAGCTCCAATCGGATTTAAGAGCCGAATCCGAAAAAAGTGAAGTGGATTCGGGGGTGAACAGTGAAGTTCCGATAAATCAGTTTTTAACAAAGGACAACAACGACACCGTTTAAAAATTTATGGAAATCATTTGATTGTACAGTTCCGGAGATATATTTTTATAATTGTTTGATGTTTGTGAAGTCCACTAGCTGTAATATTTCGTTGTTTCTGTATATGGTTCGTTTTATGATTTTTGATGGCAGTTCAAAGCTTTTATGTATATCGAATATTTGTACACCATTTTCTAAACAAACACTTTCTTCAGAAGGAAATATTCTTTGTTATTTCTTGAAAAAAAAAACAAATAAAAAATTATGAAAACGCTAATGCAAACAGGTCATTGTGATTAAAGAGAACAAAATCCGAACTGGTGAGCCGCGGTCGAAAGGAACCTGAAACGTTGCGTCTGCTACTGTGGCAGACATCATCAGTGGTATGTGCGTCGACTGTGAGGACGAAAGTTATATTTCGATATCTCGGTTGTTGCTAAGAAAAAAAGTTCTAGGTTGAGTGGTATTCGTAAATATTATTTCATGAAATAGTATCAGCTGAACCCAGTGAACACACCGACGTGTGTATATCCGAAACGTACATAAAGAATATCCATTGGACGTCCATTACTGGAAAAAAAGTTTGTTATGGTGCAGACATATTTTCATTTCCTGATAAATTATTGAGGTATAGGTGTTATATTCATTGATAGTTTGTTGAGAGAATAACAAATGAGGGTAAATATTCGTTTTGAGGGCACCCGGCGATTTTGAGAAAGTTTTTGCGTGTACTTACGTATTTTGATGCGTAAATTACGAATCCGAAAGAAAAAACCGGCGCTCTCACTCATTTAGGAAACTACTGCCGTTTAAAGTTCAGGAAAGGGCAACTTTTCAGCCTTCTTTTCCACAAGATAAACTATTTACAAACACAAGCATTCATTCTCCAGGTCACCTTCACACTTTATTCCTCCCTAATTAACACTTTTCAATTCAACAATCTACATTTTTTTATAAAAAACTTAATTCAAAAACGAATGCTTCTTCTGGTGACATACTTCTACTTTTAAGTTACTTACCAGTGACATTTCAGAAAAAAGCGGTTGGTATTTGCCACCGCCTACTATTTCAAATTCGTAATATACCACCAAAAACCAATTCCGATCTGAAGAATGAAGGCAAAAAACATTCGAACTTTAGGAATATTGACAGCATCAGTCGTACCAACTATGCCATTAACCTTAAAAACGTAAAATACAGAGATATATAACCAAAAAGCAGCTCCGTACATTTTTGAATTATACAGTTTCAATATTTAGTCGCAATCATATTCGATTATTTGATTCCATTGGTTCAGTGTTATTAAGACAGTGATTTGAAATTTTTAGAAAGATACATGACTAAGCTCTGAGAGTAGAAATAAAAACACCATTCAGTTTCATAGCTGTTGGGAAGAAGAGTTTCATCGCTATAAAACTCTGTTTTGGTCGTCCTGCCTTTAATTTTTTTCATAACTTTATCGGTGTGAGGAAAATAATCAGAATGAAAAACTATTGATTGAGGTTTCAGAAGATAAATTTTTAAAATTTTGTTAGCCCAAAATGGTGAAAAAGTAGAGTTGAAAATTACTCACTGGTAATTCAATTTGAAATTAATAAATTATAGAATAAATCTGTGGCTTTCAGGAAACAGTGTATATACCAAGAAGGAATATTATATCTTTTGACAGAAAATAAAAATTTGTAGATATCGCTTTTATTACAGACGAAATCAGTGGTCGTTACATCCTATAAATTCTAAAGACAAGTTGAGTTTTCTACAATTTTGAAGTTACTGTTTTTATATTACCAATGGCTGCGATCACTTCGATTTCAACTGCAGCGTTGATAGGCAGTTTACCAACTTGGAATGTTGATCGAGCTGGGTAGTCTTTTTTGAAAACTGAAACAAATAACGGAATAATATGAAACTGTTTTTCCAAACATATTCTATAAAACTAGACAGTAACTCACATTGTTTATAGACTTCATTAACAGGTCCAAAGTCATCAATATTTCTTAGCATAATCGTACTTTTGAGGACATTGGCATAAGAAGAACCTGCAGCTTCCAGTATGTGGCCGATATTCTTCAACGACTGCTGGGCTTCAGCTGCTGCTCCACCATCCACCAATTTATTGGTATTCGCATTCATCCCCACAACCCCTGATAGATACACAACGTCATTGAAAACGACTGCTTGACTGGAAAATATATAAAAAGTCACATGTCAGGTGTCGGGTTACAGAGGTAAAGCATACAGAAATATTCTTCAATATGGAAATATAGTTTACCAATAAACATATTTCATAAACATGCAAAAGGAGACATCAAATGACGCAAGAATAGAAACGTGGAAGATTGAATATCGGCAAAAATACATTATGGTTGGAAACAACAGATGAAACTTGATATCATTCAAGAAATGCATGTAAATGCAATTAATTCTGTTGAATTAAACACAAATATACGATAATAAATAGAAAACTATGAAATGAACAATCAAGGTTAGTTCCTGGCTAGAATGAAAAATCCAACAATTTATAAGATGGCAAGAACTGAATAAACATTCATTCAAGTAAAGAAAAAGAGAAACCAAACTAGATACTGAAGTAATATTAAAAGAAATAAGATGGTACTGAAAAATTCCAGTCAACACGTTACATCGCTTGATTGTTTCACAAAATTATAGTTTGGGTACTTATTCGAAAGATCACACTATGATTGCCTCAGTTTATCACATTTATATACATTGAAAATTGTTACAAAATAAGTTTTCCTGAGAAATTCATAATGTTAATATGAACGCCCTCTATTCTCAAACACTAGGTGAGCGGATGTTGGTTAGTTGGTTGTATTCAAAGAGTACACCCTGGTGTACTCTTTGGTTGTATTTCCATTTTTCAGCATAACATAACCTGAAATTTTTCCAGAAAAATGAGAAAAACTGGTTTTCTCCTATAAAAATAATTAGTTTTTCACGATATCTGGGTAAATATTCGTTTTGAGGGCATCCGGCGATTTTGAAAAACGTTTTGAGTGAACTTACGAATTTTGATGCGTAGATTAGGAATCCGAAAGAAAAAAGCGGCGCTCTACCTTATTTACAAAGTTACTACCCTTCAAAGTTCAGAAAAGGGCAACTTTTCAGCCTTCTTTTTCACAAGATAAACTATTTAAAAACACAAGCATTTATTCATCTTTACACCTTATTTCTCCTTCCTTGACACGTTCACTTCAACTATCAACATTTTTCCAATAAATATGTTAAAAACCTGCTTTTTGGTTATATATCTGTATTTTACGTTTTTAAGGTTAATGATATAGTTGGTACGACTCATGCAAGCATTCGTTTTGAAGTTTTTTATAAGAAAAATGTTGATTGTTGAATTGAAAAGTGTCAAATAAGGAGGAATAGGTGTAAAGATGACCTAGTGAATAAATGCTTGTGTTTTTAAATAGTTTATCTTGTGAAAAGAATGCTGAAAAGTTGCCCTTTTCTGAACTTTCAAGGGCCATAACTATGTAAATAAGGGAGAGCGCCGCTTTTGTCTTTCGGATTCGTAATCTACGCATCAAAATACGTAAGTATACTCAAAATTGTTTTCAAAATCGTCAGGTGCCCTCAAAACGAATTTTTACCCAATTTTCTCTTTCTTGCGTTTCTAACAGGCTTTCGCACTGGTTTAAATAGTGACATTCAGTTTATGTCAATATGAGCTTATGATTATAAAAATCTCTTGACGTTTGAAAATTGCGTTAACATAACTGTTGACTCACTTATATGGAGCTCCTCCTAACGGTGCAGGAGCCTTTATGGTAGATATAATTCTTCTCACTAAATTGGACATTTTCACGTAAAACGGTGTGTTCAGTGTTATTTACAATTTTGACTAAATCGAAGGAAAACACGAATCAGACATGCCAAAGTTCACAATTATTCACTTTTATTTTGTACTTGATAACCTTCGACCATGCTGTTTGATAAATTAACAGGTTGGGATACGAGATAAAGTCAGTTAATTTTCAACAAATCTCATAAGATATATATTTGCAGTCTTTGTAAAATAACGAATTATTATTATTAGGCCGACAAGAAACTTTCCTAATTGAACTGGTAAACAAACTTTTTACTTTTTGTCAGAATAATTGATAATAGCTCATTGGCGTTGCCTTTGCTGCTTTTCTATGTTAAAATGATTACAGTTTATAGAAAAAGCAGCTCATAAACAGAAGTTAAAGAGAGAAAGGGAATAGAAATGATCGAATAAACGGTGGCATTATCTTTGGATCTACAATCTATAGGGATACTTTTCTTCCCGAAAAGTTAAATCTAACTGGAAAAAACTCGAAACATATAAACAATCACTGGAAATGAATCAAATGAGTGCATGAATGTCATTATGTACTGTCATCGTGACATAAGTAGATTTAATATTTAATTCATTCGTAACATAAAGTCAAAATGTTTTGAATGAATTCAGGGCTTCATTTGGTAATGGTATCCAGATTGGTGCTGACGTGGCAATAAGACGAGTGTCTTACGAGTATTGGAGTATTCTTCTCATGTATGGAGATTCCATCTAATCCATCTGTTGCTGTTGTTGTTGTTGAACATCACTTGATAGTCTGGAACATTGAAGAAAAGTTGGAGATTTGTCTCTCTTCTCTAGATACTTGGCACATTTGATTCCACCAAGAGCAGTACATACTTATGGATTTTCCTGTAGTGCTTGTGGTTTGTCCTTAAAAAAAAAACAGATAAGTAAAATGTTTCTTTCTTCTGTGACCCAATAACATAATTTAAGAAGAAGATAAGCCTTATGTTAAGATCGATAGTTAACCTAAAAATTTCGAAAATGAAAAATTTTTGTATCAGCTGAAGTAAAATATATATAAGTAATGAATATTCAGAGGAACCTACAAGTAAATTACAAAATTTACAAAGAATTCGAGGACATTTTGAACTCTTATGTGTCTGACTACTATCTGGAGAACCATTGGGAAAAATTACCAAAATCATGGCAAAACCACTTTTCGGATATCGAAATGAAACCTCTAAGCCAATTCCTGAATTTTTCTATACCTACTAGATCTCTAGAAGATAAAATATATCCTTTGGCATTACTGTGTTTACGTGAATTAGTGATTCGTAACAGTATACCAAGAAGTGAAATGAAGTTGGCCCCTCTCTTTGCATTCAAAACCGATGATGACTTCATGAACTTCTTTTGGAAAAACGTGAAACTGAAAAAAAGGCACGAGATAACCAGATTAGCTCAAAAATGTTACGAATCTGCCGAAAAGACCAACTGTTTTCACATAGTAGATGTTGGATCAGGTTTGGGGCATCTGAGTCGAATGATGGCCTTTGGATATGGCCTCAAAGTGTGTACGTTTGAAGCAGACGAGTCCCTGTCTAAACAAGCTCAAGAGTTAGACAGGGTATTCAAAAATAAACTGGATAAAAGGAATATTCTCTACCAGGGAAAGTTTGAAACTGTTCACCTGAATCACAGTATAACGAGAGATTTTGTGAAAGAAAAGTTCCTGCAAGAGGTTATTGAAGCTTTTGGTGGCAGTTCAGATTTGAGATTTGGTATTGTCGGGTTACATCCTTGCGGTGATTTAGGATCCTTGCTCTTAAAACTGTACAGTGATTGTTCTAATATCACTTTCATCAACATGGCAAGCTGCTGTTATATGAGAATGACTTTGGAACCTGCACCCTTTTCTAGTTTCCCAATGAGTAAGTATTGCAGTGACGAAAACTACATGCTTTCATATTTATCTTGTGAAATTGCCTGCCACTCTATCGAAACCTATGCTGAAAAGCTGAGCAACTCCGAAGAATACAATAAATTGAAAATACACTCTTACAGAGCACTCCTCGAAAAAATTTTAGTATCAATAGATCCAAAATTAGGTCATTCCATGGTCCCAGGAGTGAAATATAAGGAAGATTTAACTTTTTCAAGGTACATTGAGAAAGTAATGCAAAAAATGAACATTAATCCTCCTCAGCATATGGTTTCTCTTTGTGAATCATTAATGAATAAAACTTGGAAAAAAGTTATAGTATTTTATTCGCTTAGACTGTTTTTGGCTCCTCTAGTTGAAACGATCATTCTTCTAGACCGCTTGTTATTTTTAAAAGAGCAAGGAAGTGATTGTGCAATCCTACCTCTGTTTGATTGTACTGTGTCTCCAAGGAACCAAGTTATTACTGGTTCGAAAATAAATGCTAACTGACCTACCTATTTTATTATTTCAGAAACCAGCTCCTCAAAAATGACATACACTAATTCTGATGTGGTTCCCATGACTCAAATCATTTTTATATGCTTATATTATTTACCTACATGATAAAAGCGTGTATGCAACTAAGGGTTATTAAAAAAAATCCTACAAGTGGACTCCCTTGTCATACCAAACATTGCCTTTCAAATCTTTTGGAAAAAAAAGGAGTTGAAAATTAATTGTTGAATCAGCAATTCATATTGATATTGTCAACTTGCTCCTTTCCTATAAGTATTATTACAATTTTAATGCAAAATACAATAATCTTTTTTATCGACCTTTTTTTGGGTAATGGTTATTTGGGTCAATATAATTTCTCGCGTCGACAGTTTTTGACAAAACCAAAGCTAATCGGTAAAACACCAAAGTTTTAATGCATCATGGTTATGAGTAATTTACGTAAGCTTAGAAAGGCAATAAAAAGCGATAGTATCCTTCCACACTAACAGTTGAATTGTATTGACATTCATAACTTGAATTTACATACTAGTGCTGCCCATTGATATACACATTATGATTTCTATGTTGCCTCCGTTTTGAAAAGGACTATTTGCATTTGTACTAGATTTTGAAAACACAATGTACTAAATTCGGAATTGAATAAAATGTAGTCAATTTTTATTTGTTGAGCAAGGTATATCAGAATAGAAGAGATTCAACAACAAATATTTGAATGTTTATTTTGGAAAATAGTCTATGTTTTCCTTGATTATGACGTTTGAATTATAAAACTAGATGGCGCCCACTCATTTTTTCTGATGAAAATTATAGAGTTTTGCTATGGATCTTCCTGGGAATTCTCATCTTCCACAAGCTGAAAAATTCAAAATTGTAATGGAGAACTGCAAACTCACTTTTTTTTTCCCAAAAACTCATCTCTCTTAAAATAATACCCCTTTCAATGTTTATGCAACCCCTTATTTGAAGAATGTGGACAAGTTATATTATTAAATGAATGCCAATAGCAAACAAGTTTTATAAGAAGAAGAGAAGTACAATTAACCTTTTGCTTAAATGAAAGAAAAATATTCATTATTTATATGCCGGTATTAGTATTGCAAACTACAATTAATAGTCTCAGCTATATGAGGTTTATTTTCTAAACAGTCTAGGAATTTCAAATATACCAGTTTCAAAATGTCTGATAACGGGGATCCCCTTTGTGGGGAGAATGAGCTACCTTCCAACTTGATCCTTTCAAGATTTTGCGCAGCCCGAGGCAGAGAAATTCAAATCATGAACAAGGCACTGTCAACCTCATCGTCCATCAAATTGGCTTTTCAAAAACTACCAAAACACATGAGAAGGAGGGCCATGTCTCATAACGTGAAAAGACTGCCAAGACGATTAAGAGAAATCCATATGAATCAAATGAAGAAGTCCGGCTTACCTCCCAAGGCGAAACGTCCTTCGAGGAAGTACAGGCGCAGGCCTTATACCTTGTCAGACGAGTTTACTAGGAGGCAAAGAAGAGTGACTTGGTTGAATACACACATATGGCATGCTAAGCGTTTTCACATGGTCGAAAAGTGGGGGTACAAGTTACCTGAATCGGGGTGTGATAGAAGCTTTCGAGCTTGCTACAGAGCTACTGTAAAACACTGTTTACTTCAAGATATTTCTTATAACAGCTGTGTAGAAATTACAGGATCTTTTGATACTATCGTGGGTTGTTTAAAAAAAATTACCAGTACTACAGCTGGGTTAACGATCGCAGCAAAATCATACATAGGAGGGCTCAGGGAAGGTAGGGTTGTTTTGTTCAGTATTGAGGCCAAAAAAGCAATTGGTAGTGTTGATTTTCAGTGGAGGCCGGCAGACTGTGTAGCAGGTAAACGTACTTTGTGGATATGGATTCATGCGGCTTATTATAAAGAAGCACTAAAAACATTGCTGATTTCGTTCAACTTGGCTTCCAATACCGAAACACAAGTCTACAGTAATGAAATTGTGGAAGTGAAAGTACTGAAGTGGGAATTGAGCAGGCTTAGACTGACAGGACCCCTTTCGAATGCTGTACTACAAAATGCCTTCAAATTAGCAAACAAGACAGAACAGAACCCGAACTGGGTAACCGCATATTTTCAAAAAGTATCTGATAAAGGACTGGCTTCTCCGCATACATACTGGGAAAATCTCAAGTCTGCTACATCTCCTGCTGAAATTTCTCCCCACTTGGTTTTGCCTCTAATAATTTCAGATCCCAGGCTTAATTTTCCAAAGAAACGTATGAAAGCACTTCCTCCCTTTGATCTAAGCCAAACGTCTGCTGTAATAACAGAACATGTGTACAATAGCCCTCTGTGGGAGGAGAGTGTTCGTAAAATTGTTCAGGAAACAAAAAAATCCAGTGGCGATCTGGCAAAGTTGCGTGAAAATTTGTTAGTCCCTGGATCTGATTTGGAAGACTGGGATACATACCTACCTGTCATATTGGTCCAGAGACCTGGAAAAAAAGGTCAGGATTACAGAGGTGAGTAAGAAGGATGAGTGATCAGATATTTATATGGGGTCGGTCTGTTTGAAAAATAAGGTGAATTTTCATTTTTCCCAAGAAATATTTATTTAAAGAAATGAACTTTAAATGTTCAAGCCCGTCTCGGATATACCTAAACAGTAGATTGAATGGACTGACGCCTATCAGAAAACAACTACTCCACTGGCTAATACCACGAACGGCGTTGGATTATATCCGACAGGCGTCAGTGCAGGAATCTTCACAGAAAATTTCCTGCATATGCAATTGGCAATACAACTGAAAGAGTCGACTTTTAATTTTGGAATGTCTGTCTTCAAGCATTGCTCACTGACTAATAAGAAAATATTTATTTATCAATTTTTATTAAGTATTGGCCTTTCCTTTTTTTTGTCTTGGTTCTCCTGGGCTCTTCGTATGTTGGCGTACAACCACTGTTTTGAATGTCCCCTGTTGTCGTAAAGAATCCACTTTTTGCACATATCATCATCAAATGTTTGGAGAATTTTCTGCCTCTAAATTTGAGTTACTGAGCTGGTCACTACTGGTTTCTCCAGTAGTTTGGTTTTGATTCTCCATCCATATCTGCTAGGAACATTTGGAGAAAATAAGATACTCAAATAGATAATCACGATTCTTTTCAGGATATGGCAGTGGATGGGACATAATCCTCCCTTCAGTTTGGACACAACCCGTTTGGCTTTCTTTGATAATGTGGGGTGCTAGACCCGGTGGATTGAGAGAAACTGATAGAATAGATTTTGAATCAGGGTATCCCCATTGCTTGAACCCTGATACGTCTGCAGGGAGCCAGGAAGAACTGTCTATTTCTGATAAATGCAAAGAAGATTTCTTCAAAGTACCGCCGAATAAAAGAACCAACTTCAGTAAATTCAGAATAGCGAGCCCACTGGAGTGGAATTGGAAATTATTACTGAGCGAATGGTCAAAATCTAATGAAACTATTACTGAATTCAAAGTTTTGAGAGACAGAGGAATGTTGAAAATAATTCTGGTAGGTTAACGTAGGTGATTTTGTGTTTTATTGATTATCGAAGGTTTTTATTTTCTTTCATCAAAACAAATATGAAAATTTCAGGAAATCATGTCCAAAAAATGTAGTATCTCTTTGCCACCTCTTCCAGAGAATTGTTTGATTCCAGTTCGAATAACGCTGTCTCAGAAAGGTTCCTGCAAAAAATTCGCAATAATATGCCTGCCGGAACCCAAAGATTTCAAATTAGAGCCGATGGAACCAATAAGTCCCGACCCAAACGAAACACTGAGAAAAGAAATGAGGACAGAACACAAAATGCTGTTGAAGAGCCTGAGAAGAAAGAGAATTAGAGCGAGAAAGAATGGCAAAGTAAGTCATTAGCACTAATAGGTGATAGTAAATGATTGATTACTATTTTCATCATAGTTTTATATTAATCCTTCATTTAGCATAAGAAATATCCCCCTACAGGTCAGCTAGGTCATACATGTAATGCATATCTTAATTTATTCACTTATTACTCATTATTCTCCTCAATTATCTCTATTTTGAACTGTATTATCTTTAATTCTGTTTATCTTAGTGCTTTTACTCATTTTCACGTGCTTGAGTTTACTTCGAGTCTCATTTTTGACTTTTCAGTCTTTTCTTTGATTTTTAAATTGTATATGATTATTTATAATATTTCATTCTTGTACTGTTATAAAAGAGGTAATCCCGTGCAATAATAAAATAAAAATATTTTTTAAATCCAAATTCGAATAATTCACAGTTATTAAATTTTATCAAAATGTAAAGACATTATAATGAAGAAGATAATTCGCAGCAAATAAATTTGAATGACATACACTTATGAGACATGTCAGATGTAAAAATTAAGTGACATATTTCAGGGCAACTAGATTTATTGTATATTGACGAAATGAAAGGAGAATAGGAGGTGAAACAAAAGCTGAAATACGAGCAAAATTTGAACATTCATCTTATTTTTTGAACAAACCTCGTATAGCAACCTATCACTGTGTTTTCATGTAGATTTACACCATTGAATATTACTATATCATTAAGGAGCACCCTGTATATTACCGTTTATTAAACAAAACTGAACAAAGACGAAAATTCGTTCAATCAAAATTGTTTGTTTCCAGGTGATTCCAGTTGACTTGGAATTGTTGAAAAGTTACAGTAGCAAAATGAGAAAATTGTGGCTTCCAGAAGCAAAAAATATAAGACACTCGTGTTCTAGAGAAGTAATGGGGTATGTTAGACATGGAGATTTCAGCTTTTTGGTTGGCAGAAGCAAAGCTCTGGGTTACATTACGTCGGGAGCTTTGGAAAAACTTCTTTCTTTGAAGTGTAATAACAAAGTTTTGGTGAGGAATACGAATTCAAGGCAGTATAGGCTGGGAACTTTGGAAGTTGTATTTGAATGAAGAAATGTTATGGTTTGATGTGAGTGTGCTAATGTATTCAATTTTTTTCTTGTATCATAGTAATTCAGTCAGATATTTGATTTTAATGCAAATGTTTCCTAATGTGAGAGGAAGTAATTTTCAAAATAATAACCGAAACATAGTATTATTCCCATTCGACAGGTTCAACTCGTGAGCAAAATTTTTCATGCCACTCTAGATTGAAAATTTTTTTGTGTGAAAAATATAAATCTTCAAAATTCAATAGTACAGTTGACTCGCGATAGTCCAACACTACGGAACCGCGAATGTGTCGGATTATAAAAGATTGACTCTATTTAATTGAATTCGCAGTGTATAAGTTTGGAAATCTAGTTTTAACGATGAATTTTTATGTAATATTTGACAAGAAAAGATTCAAAATATGTAATGAAGTCAGGCTTCAGTTTTTACAAAAGAAGAGGAATTTATTTAATATTAAAATCATAACACAACACATATCGGTTTTACAGGTTAGGGTAAGAGCAACTAGAGTAGATCGATGACTCATACGGCGCTGTGTCGAACTGTAAAGTGTCAAACTATCGCGCGCCAACTGTATATGCATCAGTCGTGCCTAAATTCGAAAAAAAGTGAAAAGAAAGAGGGTAGCTAGTCAGACCAGAAATACCTAATAATTGGTTTTAAAAAAAATGTGTCTTAGCACAATCATAGCTGAATTATTGTTCAGGTTAGGTCAAATTTATTAATACTAGATATCGAAAAATCTTGTGCATTACTTCAATAAATAATACCTTGAAACTAGAGGTATGAATACATCGAAAATTAATTAGTGAGTAGATTATACATGAATATTTTCATGTTTTTTCATATGTGATTTTAGCTGACGTTTGTAAATAGTTGCAGGCAAGTGTTGTTTACTTATTTAGGTTTTGTTTTAAATTTTCAATAATCTAAACTAATATAAAGATAATAAATTTGTTTGTTTTGAAAGTTACAACTTTTTTCAACCATCTTTGTTTGTCTTTTAACGAGCTCCGGTTTTAAACCGGAGCTCGAGTGAGGGTGATAACGTCTCCCCTTACAAAGACGCTATCTATGGGATCTAATATCAAACATAAACGATGCTCCCCAGGGCAGCCAGTTGCAAAGCCAAGCTCTTAGAAATCAACTGCCAATGAGATTCGTCCTGTCTTTTATTGCAAGGCAACTAGCTGGAAATCAGAGCCCAAACACAACACACTTATGAATAAACACCACACAGTGCTGTTTCGGCTCGTCATTGGTCTTATCAGTAGTTTTAAGCTGAACCACAAATACATTGCTGCACTTATCTGTCCTTGAAAGAGAAGCCTGAATAAGTGAGAGCGATGACATCTTCCCTTACGATGACGCCATCTATGGGATCGACAGAGAACTCAGTCCTCGAATATCAAATGAGTTCTTCGATGAAACTCTCAGGTTCGCAGATGCGGTGGGCTTCTCAACTAAAGTTTTAATTACCTTCCTCTTTTGTCGTAGATGTTGAAGCTTTCATATGCAAACCCTACCGTCCTTAGATCTTATCTAAACTTTAATGAAAGACGAAAAGTAGTATAGGATCTTTATTAACAATTCACATCAATATGGACTACTCAATAGTTTTGGTGCAAATTATTATACAGGTTTAGTTCTACCGTGCTCGTGAGATGATCTGTTTCTTAGATTCCAGCTCACTTGACCTGAGAAAAGTGATAGTCAGGATTATCAGGCTAATCCTTATGAAAATGCAGGACCAAATTGATCTCAGCGGCTTTCATGTGGGGTTTTCTACTGATCGGGTTCCATCTCAGTGACAAGAGTTTTGGTCACCAACTATTTTTATTACTATTATTATCCCGTGAACCTGAAATCTTAATATATTTCCTTTCTCATAACTGACCCATTTGGTAACGATGCATCACATTATGAAATATTTAATTTATATACATATGGCCCCACGTTGGGCGCCAATATTCTTATGAAAATCAACATAAACATTGAAACGACAATGTGGGTGCCATCTTTTAGAGAAAAATGTGTAGGTACATTTTTAAGTAGCATAAGTTTATTTTGAAGCGACGGATTATTTAAGACAGATTATTTAAGAAGGTTGCGTCACCTTGGTTGAGCCTCCCCATTAAACCTGCCTTTATAGTATGTTTTCAGATCAAAAAATCAATTTTGAACTCTTAAACAGAACAGGCATTATTTTTAATTGAAACACATCAACCAGCCACACTGAGAACCAAACTCGAAAATTAACATTACCATTACAAATCATTTGGAAAAAACTATTTCGTGGAGATGCCCCGATCGACCACGAGCAAAGTTATTCTTTCTACTCGTCATGAAAAGGAATGTATTTTGTTTCAATCTCAGGAGCAAATTACAAGCTTTGGTTTTGAACGGATTTTAACTGAACTGAAAGGATCTTGGTCTATTGAGAAAGGTGTTTGCTGACGAATTGTCTGATATCTTCTAGTTCTTCTTCTGAGGAGGTGTGCATCAATCCTCTGTACAATTTGAATTCAGTGCTGTTGTGCAAAAATGTTTTCAGTAAGGACGCTGTCATCTGACCCCACTTGACAGGCACCACCGGGTCACAGTCGCCATGACATTGGAGAATCTGGAAAGCGTCAAACACTTCAATATTTTCAAAAACAGTGAATTTTTTTTTGAAAATGTTTTTGGTGGCCTTCGCGAGTATAAACTGTGATACTTCTTCAGGCGTGTATTCAATTCAAAAGGTTACGTGAAAATGAAATTAAATATAGAATTTTTTAATGAATGAGACCACCTCCAGATATTTGATAGAAACAAGTGATCTCAATTCATGAAGAATTCTAATCTCTCACTTATTGAGTACTTGTAAGAAAAATAGTTTGTGTAATTTACCGGTAAACTGTCACCACTCTTCATCGCTTGCGGAAAAGATTTATTCAGCGGCAACCAACACGATAAACCTACGACTCCTGCTAGTGGCTTGGGATAAGTGAGGGAAGAGTAGATTGCTAATGCGCCGCCCATTGAAAATCCCCCAAGAAGGACCCTATTCGAAGGAATGCCGGCCGATTCCTCTTTCTCGATGAGGGAATGAATTTGCTTAGCGGCATTCTTTATTCCTGGAAAAGGATATTCATCAAACTGGACTAGATACAAAAACTTGATTCAGAAAACATAATACAATATACCGGGTCTTCCAAACAGTGCATATTTGCTCCATATATAATGCTTAGCATTGAGCGTAACTTTGTTTCTGTGCTCGTAGGTCTGAGGGCTTTGTGTACGATAAGTGTACCCTCTACAAGTCTTGAACAATATCGACAGTAATAGTTGGTGCCTGCAATACCTAATATCTTAACCCTATGTGTAGTAACTAAAAAATATTTCCATGAACAGTGCCCAATTCATGCACTTATTTCTGGTTGAAAAAAGGACACGCCTTTACAAATAATCTACGACAACAGTAGACGTTCAGGACAGTGGTTGGACACAGATGGGCCAACCAGGCACTTTCAAAGGCGAAAACCCACCAACGAATACCATGGTTACTGTATGGTGGTTAGCGGTGGCGTGATTCAATATAACTTCTTGCAACCGGGCCAAACCATCACAGCCCAGTGATGATCACATCATAAAATGAAAACACTTATTTCTGCTGCGGTAGAATACATCATGTGCAATGAAAAAGATGCCTTTGCCATCAATGAGCCGATGGTTCTAGTGATGGCCCGACTGGGGATACACATTCACGAGCCTTCCAGCGCCATATGTTCCGGCACCGGAAGCGCAGACACAGCGATAACTGAAATGTGACCTAACCTGAAAATTTTAGCCTTCCCTTCAGAGTTTAGAAAACTCTTGCACTTTTATAACGTCCGCTCTGCTACCATAAAAAGTAAAGCATCAGAACATTGTTGAAAACAAGACGAATGAAAAAAGTTATCGAATGGACTTTCATCAGATATTCCTTGTGGTGGGGAATTTAACACAGTGATTTGAGTTATTTATTCTTCTTATTTTAACGTCACACCACATTCCATTAATATTATGATAGACTTTGAAGCTCCTTATCAGGAAAATTATTATCAGAAGTGTATTTTGTTGTTAGTTCGTGAGAGGGTTTCAATTTCATTTGACTATCGCGAGAGAATATGTTTACACTGATTTCTATCTCGCCGTTTATTGTAATTTTAAAATCTATGTGGGCTGCTACGATTTTTTTGAAAAAAATGCAATATGACAAGGATAGACTTATGCAAATATATAAATTCTTTTTAGTGCGCTATCAAAAAAATTTCCTTGTACTTCTCTTCTGGACTTTAGGACGTCATTTCAATACAAAACTGTAAAAATCTGTTGATAACACCACAGCCTTGATAATTATCAATACCTCTTCTGATAGCAAATCTAATGAAGAAATTCGTTGTTGGCTTTCAAAGCCATTTTCATAAATCAGTGGCGTATATAAAATATTATTTTTGGAGGGCAACATTAAATCTATACAGAAATTTTTTTTAGCTGACCCCACTATTATATCGAAAATGTGACTTACAAGGTTGGTAGAATTAGACAAAAGTAACCTTTTTTAGATCGCAACTACCAATAGTCGTTTGTTAGATATTCGCAAAAAAACAAACTTGTCGATTCTGTTTGTTATTTCTACTGACGTTTAGTTGATTCTACCATTTTTTTTTTCAATACGGATTCGAAAAATTCATAATTTTCAAAGGATTAATGATTTGGGCTTTCAAAATCCAAAAAATACTAGTAGCAGATATAAAAGACGATCTGATCTAACTATCTGTCTGATAGATTGTTGATTATCTATTTGTAGATTACTTAAAATTGCTCCTTCATCAAAAAATTATCTGGAGTAGGTTTATTAAAACATTTGAAACGTTTACTCAACAAAACATGAATGATTATATTCTACGAAATTGCAAATTCATATATAACATATCCCCTGAAAATGTTGGTCATAGAACATATTTTATTAGTCAGGTTTCAAGACTTTTGTTGGACATCACTAATTTGAATCAATTATTCGTTAGACCTCGTTAATCCTTAGCTCGCACAAGTTTCCACTTATGGGGGTTGTCGTTCGAAGGGGTGCGACAGCTGGTTAACGGAAAAACATATTTATTTAAAAATTATTTTTGTGTATCCATTCTTTCAGTAGCTTTTTTTATACTTCAATAGAACTGACCATTGCCTGTTGAAAATACATTTCAAAATTCACAGTTCACTGTAAGATTTCACTATAAAAGGTTTCTACTTGAGGAAGCTGTTGCTATTGCTTCAGGTGTTGAATAATTCACAGTTCTTTTGCCTATAGTTTTTGTAGTATACTGAGAAATTGTTCCAAATACAAAATTGGTTCAAGTAAACTATTAGTGACAGAAAACATTTAATAAAAACAAAAGGAAAATTATTAGGAGGTGGATACGTATCCTGTGGTGTCCCACAAAGTTCGGTTGTGGAACCTACGTGTTTTATAACTGAACGACCTTGATTCCATTCCGGTTTAAGGTGATTCACTATGAGACTCCAACAGAGTAATCAAATGGTGTGACTCAAATTCTTCAAACCAAAAACTAACTTAAATCATCTTTCCATTTTACAGCAAAAAACGATTGCAGTTCACATATTTTTTATTTACAAATCTTTTTTCCATATCATCGCAGCTCTTTCTATCCGTTTTCTGAAATACATGAGGTTTTCAATTTAGTAGGTCAGGTTGGATGTTTAGAAAAGATAGTTTTTTCAAAGTTATATATTCGAAAATACATTCCTTTAAGAATTTGAAGGTCAGGTTAGATTGAGTTATGTTAGGTCAAGTTAGGTTAGGTTGAGTTAGGTTAGTTTGGGTTAGGTCCAGTTAGGTTAGATTAGGTTAGGTTAACTAAGGTCGGGTTAGGTTAGGTCGAGATATGTTAGGTCAGGTTGAGTTGGTCCGAGTTCAGTTGGGTTAGCTTATGTTAGCTGAGGTCAAGTTAGGCTAGGTAAGGTCAGGTTAGGTTAGGTCGAGTTAGGTTGGACTGTCACGCGAGGGAAGAACTTTGCACGTCGCTATTAAGGAACGTATTTTCGAATATTTAACTTTGAAAAAACTATCTTTCTAAACATCCAACCTGACCTACTAAATTGAAAACCTCATGTATTTCAGAAAACGGATAGAAAGAGATGCGATGATATGGAATAAGATGAATTGCAATCGTTTTTTGCTGTAAAAAACTAATTGAGTCCGAATAAAAATAAAAGTATTCTGAATTCCTACCATCATGTAGCATCATCCCAGAAAAAGTCGCTAAAATCCGTGAGTATCTCATAAAGTACAATTTTCCCAAATGGTCTACCATGCTTTATTTAAATTTCTCTTGAAATGTGGTAAAGCATTTTGGGGTTTTTATAGTCAAAATTTTTTCCATGCAGTATTTATTTGACAAAAACGAGCTGTGCATTATTTGTGCAAAGTGGGATCACAGGAATCATGTAGACAACAGAGGCTTTACCAACATACGTATGTTGGATCGTGAGACAGACACATAGTGAAATCATGTACCAATTCACTGCTTTTATTCAAGATAACAGTAATTTTGTTGAACTGTAGCAAAGTGATATCATTTTGAAAATGAAGTTCGATATTATATTTGAGATTTCTAAACCTCTGCTCTGTGCACTACAACTGTCATATGTACAGAATGAAGAGCACCAGTTCCAAAACTGGCCCTTGAGGTACTTTCTATGTAACGGTTCTGGGAGTGCTTTGCACGTTATCAATCTGTACAAGTTCTATCAATAACGTAAAAACATGCCCTAACAAATATTTACTACGAAGTGGGGTATTTGGTTAAGGTAGTTTTTCTTAATTCTAATAGACGAAAAACAATTCAAGTAAAACCAAGCCAACTCAAGATATATTTCCAGCAAACTCAAAAAACTCACCCTGTATCTCCTAATCCATGTAGAAATATTAACTAAAAAAAATGAAGTAATTTTAAAAGAAGCAGAATACATATTAATGAACTTACCGTAGCCGTATGTTTAGCAGTCGCTAAAATAACAACAGGAGCAGGAGCTGCCATATCAAGTAAAATAAAAATGCCAACTGATCGGAAAAGAATTACCTATGTAAAATTATTACACCTAAATTGAAAGGAAAATCTTTAAATGGATGACATTCATAAGTGACTTTGTCGTCACTTGTCATTCATTCGCGTCATGTTAATTTTCAGGCAGTGTTGTCAGTGTTTGTGGTAAACATTTCCTCAACCTACTAAGGTTTTCTCTTGATGTGATGGTTCACCTAATTTGAAAATAAAGGTCCGTTCATGTAAAATAACCAACGCATTGAGCGTTAGTACTTGTACGGCACATCTTTATGCGAACAGTTTTTTCTATGAGATGTCTTTTTTTTCAATACTGAGATGCATATAAATACCATACCATCCATTTAAACGTGGTTGAGTGAAATAATAATTCCGCTAAACACAGACACGTTAATTGAAATCTATTCATCACTATGATTGTTTATTATTATATTTTGTCAGGATAATATATCGTCCCTGGCAAGGTTATGGCAGACAACGATTTCTTAAATTTTACAAATTAAATCCCTTTCTTTTTCATGAAAATTTTTGATATTTTTCAAGGATATGCAGGTGAAAAAGTTCAATTGAATTTTCGCAATCATCCATACTTAACTGATTCGCAATAAAATTCTAAAATTACACATTTAGCTGTTATTATTAAAATAAAGATAGCTAGTGATTTCAATCTCATCTGTATATCAAGTTTTTCTCATGTTGATTCATGTTTGAATAAGTTCAGGGTTTATTCCATGTATCACGAGTAATTGATTATACGGAATATTTCGAATTCCGTCTCCAAAATCCATGTAGACTATTCAAAATTGACGCTTCAAAATTTCCGAATTTAAAGAAATCAAAGAGAGGCTGTAGTTACCACGCGTCAATTGTCATTTTCTATTTGTCATTATGCATTGGCATCGTAATGCCAATAAAGTGTATTAAATTGAAACTTTTTAAATTGATAAATCCGTTATACGTGCAACGAAGAAGATCAACTGAAACTTAAATGACTTGACAACGCAGCTTTCCAAAATATATTGACATATGATAAACTTTTCTACTACTACTGATGAATACGTTTTGAATACACGCGCCAGAAAACGCCTTATGTGATCAAACTTTTTTAAACATGAGCAAGAAAAATCAGAATAGAGCCAATCGGATGTCAAAAACACTAAGACGATCAAGTACGATTTGTACTGTCAAAACACGATCTGGTATCGTCTATTCTTGTTTTTGTGTACAAACAAACAACTCACTGATATTTTGTCTACATAAAAATAACCTCAAAGTAATTTGTCTTTTGTTACTCTGAGGATTACAGGGTTTCTGTTCAATTTTCTTCTGTGGTTAGAGACTGCTGCGTCTACGCAAGTTGATAAAATTTTCAAAGAGAACCGACGATTAGTGTTGTTAATCATTGGGGAACATTTATGATAAGAGGAGTACAAATTGGAAAAGGGGGGTCAATATTAGTACAATTGACTTCGATAATGATAATGTATCAATAATAATAGAAGCATTACTTCAAATTTCTACCTCTTGATCAACAATAATATCAATAAAAATCCTTGAGAAGCATCAAACACCTAAATTAAGACAAATATAAAAAACTGGAACTGAGGGAAGTAAAGATCCATCTCTCCACCAGGGGTACGATTTGCCAGGTTTTTGAAATTTGGCATTCTCGATTTTTTTATAATGAATAAGTTACATTTTTATTTGTAGCTCCAAACGGTTTTCACATATTTATTAGGGTTAATGTTGATGAAACATAGGTAGGCATGTTCCCTACTGTTGAAGTACGTTCTTCTTCAACCGAAATAATAGAGACTGAAAATAATAAGGCTGGGAAAGGGTACTAACTGAATAAAAATAATTTTCATTCATAAAGTTTTGTTCAGAATTTTTTCTGAATACATTTTTTTATAGATCACACAGCATCAAATAATCATTGGTAAGAACAGATAATCTTTTAGTTTTCTTCAATACTGTATTATTCCTACCATTGTATAATGTTACTAAATTCATTTTAAGTTTTTATATCTCAGATGAGCACCATCTGTCCTATAACAAACGAACACACTAAAAGCTATATAAAAGATTTCTTTTTTCGTGTCATTCACGTGTCGTCTTTCTTTAAATGAGTCAGTGATGACGCCGTTTGCATTCAATTTCAGTGTTACCATCTCTTCCGAAACAATGGGCAAATGTTCAATTTACTACTACGCTTGCGCGTGGAAAGGTTTAGGGTATTTTCGATACATTCTTAAAAAATGCTAACATATGTCTTCTTGGATACTTCAAACTAGCAGTTAGTGACTAATTCAAAAATCGATAACATAGGTTTGAACCTTTTGTTATCGTCAAATTTAAATTTGAGTTGTTCGACTTGATCAATGAAAAATAATATAGGTTAACATGTAGGCATTACGTAACCCTTATTTAGGTATTGATCGAGGTTTTAATGAAAGGATTAAAATAGTTTTGAACCGACTCCAAATCGGTAAATACAAAAGTCAAAAGTGCATATCCACCTCCTTCAAACTATTACGAAATAATATTTACGGCGTATAGCGATCAGTAGATTCTGAACATCAGTAGCTGGTGATTGGTTACATCACGATAGTTATTTTTTTCGATAATTTTATCGCGATGAACTGCTGACACTGCAGCTCATAAACCAGATATAACTCGGCTTCCGACAACCTAATGAACCCTAATTTTACAACCGTACGGTCCCGAGATATTTACCGAGAAATCTAAATCGGTAGTTGACTGCAATCTGTGCCTGAATCCGGTCCAGCTACTTTCGAATCAACTGTGCAACAAAATCGTACTCAATTTACAAGGTCGTCGACTTTCCTCAAACAAGTGACTATCCGCTCATATCCCTAAACCAATATGTCAACATCTCGATTATTATCGCCTCTCCAAATATACAATGGAATCAGGTTTCGCCAATCTAGTACGTCGTTTCACAGGCAGAAGTCAGCTGTTGGTTTTCGATCGAGTTGGGCGCTGGAAAAACAAGCTCGTCGCGCGATGGCAACTTACCAGCCTACGTTGACCGCGGAAAATCTGAATCCATGTGTGAAAGTGATGGAATATGCGGTCAGAGGGCCGCTGGTCATCAGAGCCGGAGAAATCGAGAAGGAGTTAGAGCAGGTGGGTTATTGCTTTGTCTGTTCTTTCACCGTAGTGCCCCGCTGATGTGAGCCTAAATTTGTCCTTGCTGTCTGGTTATGAAAAATCGATCATGTGATTATGAGATGTTTTATTTATAGCATCTTTCGACAAAGTGATATTATGAAACGATATTAATTTTTGTTTACCGATCAATAACATTTTTCGATTAGGAATACTGGGTGGCTGTATTACAATTTTTTATATAGATATTCTAACCAACCAGATTTTCCACTACAAGGTCATTTTTTCCAAATCGCAACAATCCCTGAAATAATGTAAACTGCAATCATTACCTATTTCTGTCTCCATATTTGTTTGTATTTTCGTCGAACTTTGTACTATTCGTGTGTGCATATCCCTTTAGAGCAGGTGAAAGACCATGTCTAAGTTTACGTTTCCGTGAATTTAACACACAAAAGAACGTATTCACACAGGCGGCATTTTACATCGCTTTTCAAGGAAAGATAATATAGATTGAGGAAATCGTTATTGAAACTAACCAAGTTACATTCTGTGTTTTAGTTTTGAGCTATCAATCTTAATGAAAATAAAATATTTCGAAAAAGACTTCCCTTCAATTTTTCGGTGCATATTTTTTTAATGTCCACATAAAAGAAATGACTTTATTTGCACAGCATCTTGAAGGAGGATTTCTTTTAACCAATGTTACTAAAACCAACGTAATGCTCGGATTCTTATCAATCTCCAATCGAGTTTCACATCAGCTACATTAAAATAAATTTTCTCAGTGAAACAAATTCTTACATTTACAAATTCAGAAAAGAAAATTATTATGAGCTCGTTAGACTTTTTTTGTGGTGTATGCAAACAAGCCACAAACCACAGCGGTCCTCAAAGCCAACATAACCAGTGGCGTAGCGAAGTCCTTGGGTTCCGGATCCCCCCGAAATTTTAAGATATACTAAAAAATAAATTGAGCATGGAGCAGGTGAAAGAAAGAAAAGTTATCATCACTTTTGTCTACAAACATTAAATTATCATACCATTGTTGGTTTGTCCTTTTGTTTAAATCATAAATTATCAAACTATACGTTTGAGCTCGGCCGCTCGGTTAGTGTAAGGCGGTGTTTGTATAGCTGGCCGAATTTCGACTGGACTGTCACAGTAAGTCTAGTTCGCACGCCAGCCGCTAGTGGAAATAGGAGATTAGTGCTGTAACTTAGAGCATTATTTTGTAAAATTCATTAATGTAATGTTAAACGTTATAAATATATTTTAACTATTGCTTTACCTCACAACACTTTGTTTTGAAGATAGGAAGCCCTAAATGAAAGACTCTATATAAGCAACTGTAAAACAGAATGAAATATAATGATCCCGCTGAATATGGCGAAAATATAAGTGACTTTTTTGCTACCTATTTTCGTAGTGTACGTTGTATGTTAAAAAAATAACGTTAATTTGAATTTTTCTCAAAAATATTTATTTATTCATCAATTTCTATTTTGTCTCTTCAAAATAGTCTTTCTCAGATATGATACACTTCTTCAGCGATTTTCTAACCCTCTAAGCAATTTGAATATTCACTTTCAGGTATGTCCTTGAGGTCTCTTAGAGAGTCGGTTTTTATCCCCTCAATCGCCGTCCTTTCATGGGTCTCTTCAATCTTGAGAATAGAAAAAAGTCGCTGGAGGCAAATCTGGTGAATACAGTGGCTGAGGCAAGATTACGGTGTAGATTTTGGACAAAAAATTATGAATAAGCAATGACAAGTGAGCAGGTGCATTATCGTGATGCAAAAGCCATGAATTGTTTTTCCAAAATACCGAACGTTTTCTTCGTATTGCTTCTCGTAAGCGGCACATACTTCAAGATAATGCTCCTTATTGACTGTATACGACCATGCGAGGAAAACAGTGAGCAAAACCTTGCCAATTGATCGAACTTGGCGTTCTTTTTTTGATCTTGCCT